ACATGGCGGTGTATGGTGGTGGTGATGCCTTTTCCGACCAAATAAACACCTACACCTCTCCATTGAATTAAACACCCACATCCATGTTTCTAATTTGCGAGATACACCCCAGGCACCCTCCCGGTGGCCCGTGACGGCGACATCAAAAGTTTTGGGACGATAGCCACCACCTCACGGTGGTGGCGGTGGTTTCTCTCAATTCTCGGACAAGCAGCAAAGCCCACCACGCGAATCTTAAAGCAGAAATCACATACACCTACACGAACTCATAGAAAGCACACACAGGCGCGTTTCCTTGCTTGCAAGTGGTGACGTACGGTGGCGGTGGTGACACGAAAAGGTGGCAGCAGCACACCCGAATTGCTAGAAGTGAACCCAACCACCCCTTTGGTGGCATCCAACGGCTGGAGAGTAACGAACGGTGACCATTGCGATGCTCTCCTTCAATCTCCACTAATGCAACTTCGTTCCCCTCCCAGTTGGTCTTCAACGTCGCTCGATGGTTGTTAGGTGGTCAGAGAACGTCTGGGTGGATGGTGGCGGTGACCGGTGACTAAGAGGGATAAAGTGGTGGCTGTTGGGAGAGGTGACGGCTAAAGAGTATGTGGAGTATTAGGGTTAGGGTTGGGTGGTGATGACGAGTTTATATACCCCGATCCCCCAAACTTGTTTCCATAATTGCAATTTCAGCCCCTCTTTTTCCATTTTCTTTAAAAATGTGATCCAATATTTACACTTTCAACCCAATCCATGGAGATCCCCAACAATTTATGTCCCGTAAATTATCAAACAACCCCCAATATCTTAATTATGACATAATCAGCCCATCCACCTAGTTTCCTTTTAAATTAAATCCAATTAATTACTACGGAGCCCCTGTCTTTATAAATATTTATAAAATGAGTCCAAAACTCATGATTTTAACCCCCGACTTCTAAAAATGTGGCAACTAACTCCTCGAACCCAAGACTTTTCATATATAATTATTTATTTCAGGCTACCATTCGTTCATTAACTTATTTATTTAACTAATAAATAAACGGGTGTTACATTGGACCTTTATGGCCCATTTACATGCTAAGTGGGCTTGGAATGGAATTCATGTGCTTGTGTCGTTGCGTAATCATTTTCACGTCGTATACTTATATAAATATGTACCTTTTGAATTCGAAAACATACAACATATGCGTAAACATTAAACACAATACGAAAAGGGGTTGAGAATCTAGTGAGACTTGTCGGTTGGCACCTCTGAGTGTACAATCGTAGCTTGTAGTTATAATTAGAGTTTCCTTGATGGAAAGCGGGAGTTTGTGTATAGATCTATAGAGGGTGACCCCCCACGCCTTAGCTGCTCGCTACAACTAGACTAGGTCAGTCTAGGGCGACAACATCCTTATCAAGACCGGTATTTGGAAAAATACCAAGACAGACGACCTAGTCATTATCATGCATGGTTATAACGACTCATTCAGGATACCAAAAGTTAAACCTTTTAAAGATAAACTCTTTGAGGGTGTCAATACAAAACTCTTATTTAAGGATACAAAAATCTAAACATTGCTATAAAACGGAAAATATTGGATTTTTTGGGGAAATTATTCGTGTATATTTATCAGTCATTCGAAATACAATGAATCTAAACTACTATTATACAAGTTATATCTATGAAATTCACACATGCATTTATACTGGATTTTCACATCATTTTCAGACAATTTACAGAAAATATCGGATTTTCTGGGTTATTACGAAAACTTTACTCAAACATACTTATGAACTCACCAACATTATATATGTTGACCGTTTTCAAAATAACTTGTATTATCAGGTAATCGTTAAGTTGGAAGATATGAGAGTGTGTTTGGTTTTGTTTATGTAATGTCACATATCGTACTTGAATAATTAGAATTTATGTATTTTAACTATGTACTTGATGTGAACAATGTTAGATGTATTATGTAATGTTGGTGATGAATGTGTTATGTTTCATGTATATTCATTGTGATGATTATTCAATTGTTAGTCACACGAGCCCCTGGACGTTTCCGCTGTCTGGTTCGGGGGTGTGACAACAACTCTTATGCTCTGAAACCGTCAATGCACAAGCACTCTCAACAATAGGGTCCAAAGAGACATAAACCCCAAAGTAAACTAATATAAGCATACAATGGCCAAGAAAGGAACTTGATACCTCAAAAAAGTCAGAAATGGTGCCAATCCTCTGGATCTACAAGCTCTTAGTGGGTCCTTGCTTCTTATTTAAGCTTCTTTCTCCTCTTCTCACTAACACAACAAACAAACACTCTCAAATGGATTTTAAAAAAAAAATGCACAAAATGAGTTAGGGTTTTCGTGGTGGCTGGTTAAGGGTGAAGGGAGGTTGAACCAACAGAGGTTATGTTCTTTATATATGGAGTAAACCCTAAATCTTAGGGTTTAAGAAGCTGCACACGTATGCTGGGTGTCCGTGTATGGACTCTGCAGTTCCTTCACACGAGTACACTGGGCGTACATGGCAAAGTACGCCCCGCGTACACATATTCCTCAGCCCATTTGCAAGGCCCAATCTTAACCAAACAATGTCCATAATTATTAAGATAATTACTCATAATACCTGGAAAAATCCCGGATATTATAGAAATCTTCAAACTTTTGCGCAAATGTGGTTACAAACCATAAATAACACTACATATAAGTACTAAAACTGATAGATGCGATTAAATTTATTCAAGAACCAAAATTACATTCACTTGATGTTCTTCTAGGTTATATGCAAATTATGCTCCACACCCAATTGCTGGCAAAAAGTGAGAAGCTTACATGATTTATCAAAATCAACAATTTTGATGTTACGGGTGGATATGATGACAATTGTAATCACTAACCTAAGTTTATACCTTGATATCCACTTTCGATCTCCTGTACCTCTTCAAAAGTGATTAAAGCATAAAATAAATCTACAAGTTTGTGTCTCTCTTTCTTGTGTATGATTGCATGTTCTTTTCGGGTATTGCCTCTAGAAATATTGAGAGAGCTCCATTATTTTTCAATTGATCATTAGGTTTGTGTTGCGTCTCTGATCACTAATTTCCTTTGGTATTTATAGAAGATGGGAAATGGGAGATTGTGGTGGTGTTGGGGGTGGGGGGGGGGGGGGGTTGTGTGACAAAGGATACCTGCAATTAAGCGATCGTGGAGGGGAAAAGGAAATAAAGGGTGTCATGGGTGAGGACTGCGATCTTTAGATCATTAAAAAGAAGGAGATCATGGTGAGGAAGGAAAACTGGAATGAAACATCCGTGATATAACTATAAATATGAGTTTATGCGTCTGTGATTAAAAGTTGAAGAGATCCAATGTCTCAAAATGAAAGAACGGTTATTCGTGACGCGATGTCAGTAATAATAATAATTCGTGTTTTCTTTCTACACAAATTCTAACTTTTTTTCGGCACCATTAAAACAATTATGTATACTTTGCATTATTTTTAATTAACAAATTTGTTTTTTAAATGATTAGTTAATCATATTGTAAATGTTATTCGTGTTATAGAATTATAATACAGTTTATTCGGTTATTTTCAATTATATTAGGTTCTTAATCATTTTATAAATGTTATTCAATTTATTCGGGTATTAATCAAAGCAAACTGATTAATATCCGAACAAAAACGAACACGTATTAGTTAATCGGTTTGATTTTCGGTTCATCTAATTATCCTTATTTGATTTTGGGATTTGGATCGGTTTGGTTTAGTTACGACCTAAATAACATCTTTAGGTGTTCCGAAAACAAAATAGTATTATAACATGTTTTCCATATTTGATAAAAAAAAAAAAAAGGTAACCATCTTTCCTGTTTTTGTTTTTTTAATTTTTGACACTAAAACCTTTTTTCGAAATGCAATAAAAACACCCGGGATAACGAGAAGCCATCCCTCTCCCCTTAAGTCTTTCAACCCCAACTTGCCGCCGCTTCGATCTTGCCCTCCCTGCAAACCCTACCAGAAATCCTTCAACACCGCCGTTGACGGCGGCTCCGATACCTCAATATCCTCTCCATTACCCCATTCCTTCTCGCAACAACTGCGAATTCCAGAAATGGCGTCAGGCACGGCTACTTCTGACGTCACTGATGGACCAGTGCTCACTCTTATCAACAAACGCATCCGTAACCTAAGGAAAAAGCTCAACCGAATCGCGCAGCTCGAAGATTCCATCGCTCAGGGAAAATCCATTATCAAGAACAAGGAACAGGAGGAGCTCCTGAAATCGAAGCCTGCGATCATCGCCGCTGTTGACGAGCTAGAGAAGTTCCGTCAGCCCCTATCCGTGGCCATCGATGAAGAAATCAGCCTCGCGCTTCAACGCCGTCATGTGACGGCGTCGGAAGACAATGATAACGACGATGACAGTAATAAAGCACAAACCCTAGATAAAGAGCAACAGGAAACGGAGCCTCCGGCTTTAGCGGTGGACGATCTGCTGAGTTTGATTTACTTCGGGAGTATGTTTGAGGTCAAATCGCAAAATGATTTCAATTCGATAATGTTGACAAGGTCGCACGAGAGGAATTGTTGCTTGACGTATGATTATGTTACCGATGATGATGCTGCTGTCATGTTGGGAGAGAGGGATTTGGATTTGATCTCAACGATGGGCTCTCTTTTGATTTCTAGACCCGTGGACTCTAGTCTTTCGCATCAAGATGCCTTACAGAGATGCGTTGAGCATGCTAAGCTTTGGCTTTCGAAGTCTGAGCAGCAGATTGATTCAAATAGCAATGTTACTTGTATGATACAATATACTTTATTTCCAATCATTGTAATGTTTACATAACCTCTGTGCTTTGAGTAACTGTTTTATTTTACAGATGCTGATTTGAGAGAGAAGTTGGCAAAGATTATGGGCTCAGATTACTTCAAAATAACGCCAGAGATGAAAGCTCCTGCTGATGTTGCGGCTGAAGCTGCTGGAAATTATTCATTCCAAGTGCCTGTTCAGGTGGAGGCTTCAGTCACTCGATATGAACAAAAGGTATATAATTGTGGGTTTCTATCATCCTTTTGAGTATCTTATAGAAATCTGCTTGCATTCTCCAAGTTTCGTTGTTTCTCTTGATGTACATTGTGCTTTCAGTATCCAACCTCTACATTTTCTCCTCATTTAATTGAAAATGAAGAAGATGTATATAACTTCTATCCCCTCTATAAAATGCATACATCGATCAAGCAAAACTGTGTTTTGAACTTTGATTCTCTCTTATCTGAAATGTTGTCAATATCTTATATGTTTTTTAGAAAGATTTTATCTATTGCAACCCTTGAAAGAAAGAAAGCTGCGATGTTAAGTTGTTTCCCCAATGCATAACTTCATCTTGAGGTCATTGTTTTCTCAGACATTTTTCTCCATAGCAGACTGATCCTCACATAAAAAGTAATCAATTTTTGTACTAATTATTACAATTATTGTGTAACAAGTAACAACTCATGTTTATAACTCATTATTCATGTGAAAAAAGTCTGGATTTGGTTTATTGATTTATATTTCTTTTCCAATTGTCAATCGTGTGACAGGAAGAAGATGTAACAGATCATCAAAGAAGTGAAACTTATGAAGACCAATCTGCCCCTATTGAAAATTCTCACAAGGTATTGCTTTTATTTTGTTAGTTGTCATTTTTTTTTCATCATAAAATAAAAAAGTTATTTTTATTTATTTATTTATTTATTTCTCACCAGGATGAAACAGAAGCTGAAAACTCCATTGAAGTACCAGTTCAAGAAGAACCAACCGAACTACAAGCGGGAGGTGAAGACAACAAAGACCAACATGTAAACCGGCGACCCTATCAGAACCAGAGAGGCGGTGGCGGTGGTGGTGGTGGCCGTGGTGGAGGTCGGAGAGGTTACTCGAATGGGCGCGGCGGCCGAAGTGGCGGCAGAGGCGGACCTTACCAGAATGGACGGAACAATTACTATGAGCAGCAGCCGGGAAATTATTACCCACGGAACTATAATGGTGGTGGTGGGAGGGGAAGGGGTGGTGGTGGGAGGGGTAATTTTGGTAATTCGTACAACCACCATGTCAATGCTTCTGGGGTTGAAGCTGCGGAGTCTTGACCATTGATGCCTTGTGGGGCCCCTTTTCTTTAACCCAGGTTAAGTTAAAATTTATGTGGGATAAAGATTAGCAAAAAAAAAAAAAAAAAAAAAGAAAAAAGAAAAAAAACATGTTTGGACTTTGGACTACAACTTAGTTGGGGTTAAATATTGTATGGTGTTTTTGACCTCTTAATTCTATTGGGATTCTCATATTCATACACTTTGCTTCTCTATTTTGTATTTTGGGTTTTGTTTTTGTGTTTCTTTAATCCTTTATATATTAAACCAAATTTCAGAAAGCCTATATTTACACTGAAAAAGTATTACAAAAAAATATTTTTTCCAGAAAAAATATCTGACAATTTGATTTTTTTAAAGCCATTATTTACCTACTAAAACCGGTTAGCAGATTAGACCAAAACAGTTTGGTGTGATATACTTACGATGATCTGAATTTATCGCAAGTATTTGCAACTTGTAATTGATTTTAGTAGGTTTTTTTGGAACCGGTAAATAAATATATTAATTAGGAACCTACTACCCACCTAACAAGGAGTTAGATGGACAACCATAAGAAACAATGAAGAAATAAATACTTAGATAAGGGGAAAATACATACACGCCACCCATAAGGAGTCGCTCGCGCCTCCTCTGCTATCAGCTGAAAAGTCATACTCTTCGCCACCGGTGTCTCGCCTCGGCCCTGACGGCCATCTGAAATCCTCAAAGTAGCAGTAGCTGGTGCTGACACCTTCCCTGCAGCAGCTAAACTTGGACACTGGGATTTTTTGTGTCCCCTCTGATTGCAATGGAAGCAAATCAGATCTGATGTTGAAACGTGGTGATAGTGGCTGTACAATCTCTGCTCATATGCCTAGTCCGGCCGCACTTGTAGCAACCGGCACTCCCTGCCTTGCACGCCTCGTCGTGCAATCTCCCACACTTGCCACACCGAGCGTGGCTCTGCTGACTCCTAGCTCTATGATCTGAACCCTTGGGCTTTTTGCCCGCATTCCTTGTACCTAGAGCCGCCTCCGACTTCCTCTTCCTCTCCATCTCAAGGTCAATCTCTCTCTCTCTCTCTCTCTCTCTCTCTCTCTCTCTCGCCCTAGCAATCATGTCATCCAACATTTTACAGCTGGACCGGCTCACGAACTGGCGGATATCACTCCGCAGCATCTCATGATAACGAGCCTTCTTCATTTCCTCATCAGCCGCGTATTGAGGAACGAGAAGTGCCCTCTCCCTGAACTTGGCGGTAATTTCCGCCACCTAGCCAGTAGTCTGGGTAAGATCCTGAAACTCGCGGGCTAACTGCTGCACCTCATTAACCGGTGCGAACTCGGCTCTGAATCTAGTAGTAAAGTCTGCCCAGGTCATGGCATCCAAGGCTGCGTCATCCCCGATGGCATGACCAATCTCCTCCCACCAATCTTGTGCCCTGTCCTTCAGAAGACAGGACGCCAATCTGACCTTGTCCCCCTCGGGAGATCTGCTAGTGCGGAAGGCGTTGGCCACATCTGCCAACCATCTGGTGCTCGCTATGGGGTCCCGCGGCCCGTGGTAATCTTGAGCTCCACATGCACGGAACTCCCTGAAGGTAAGCGTGTGACCCCATCATGGCCGCTACCTCAGCACGGAAAGTACTCAGTCTCTCATCCATCAACTCCAAGATACGCTCCATGATCGAACCAAAGATCACAGGAGTCTGCTCAAGTATGGTGCGAGTAATCTCTGAAGAGAGAAACTCCCTAGTCTGCTCATCCAGCTGCCCGGCCTCCGGGCCTGATCCTGATCCCCCTCCGGCACCTGAACTGCCGACTGCTGGTCCAGGGCGTAATTCCACCATTCTAAAACACAACATAATAAGTGTCAGGAACACTGATATATCTCGAGGAATCACTACTACCACAGGTTTCCTGATCTCATCTCAGCTTTCCTTGATTCGAGTACAAATCCTCTGCTTCCAGTAGTACGGGGCCATGCTACCTTCCACATCTATCCGTACTTTCCTCAAGTACTGCCTTGACTCCACCAAGTCACTATTACCGTTAATAATCTCTACTACTCTCATCCTAGGCTTGCCCTAGGGAATTCTCTGACTATACCCGATCTAGTCCTCAGCTGCTGAAAGCCTCCCTGTGATGCTAATTAGCCATCACCTGAATACCACCACATGCGGCGAGGCACAGATAATCTTTCAAGTAAAGACTCATCCCTACAACGGTTATACTCAGGCAAGAGCTGCGCAATAGGGCTAAATCTAGCACTCTGAAATTATTCAACCCTATTCACATGTGACGTGACGCATTCACCTGATGGCTAACCCCCATCACCTAGAGTCCCACAAAGCACAAAGCAAGCAACATTCATACATAGGAGACCACTCAAGCAATTTTATCCTCATAAGAGGGAAACTATACTAGCATACAATGCTAAGTTCACATTATCAGGCATAACCTAAACAGACTATCCTACTGCTGACTACTCTATGCTAGCATGCAATTCTTATAAGGCTGAAACACATAAAGCAGACATATAAACCATCCTCCTAGATCCTTAGTTCTATACTAGCATGTTGTTCTACTGATACTGAAACTGAAGCTGATATTCATAATATAACTTGTATGGGTAATTTAGGAGTACTTACTTGAGCTCGGCTGATCGCATGCACCACACCCCTTTTCTCTTTTCAAAGTTTTTATCTTTCAAAAAAAAAATTCTTTTTTACTTTTCCAAAACTCTCTTATTTTGAAAAACATTTTACCATTTCCTTAGTTTGAGTTCAGACACACCCGGAAGTGTGCCCGAATCCCTCAAACCAAGGCTCTGATACCAACTTGTAACATCCCAAAAATACGACCCAAATTTTTTGTTTAAATAGTAATAAAAATCATATACTGTTTGTCATATCATAAAGACCATGTGTCAAATATCTCAACTCATAATAAAATGTCGTGAAACAACTGTATCAAATCAAACTACAAATCAACAAACTCCCACGATAAAGAATGAAGCTGTGGTGTATGCGATGCCATCATCTCGAGCTCTTCCCCTTACTTGCGGAAGTACCTGAAACCCAAACTAAAACTGTAAGCACAAAGCTTAGTGAGCTCCCCCCAAACTACCACATACCATACAATAACATATAAACACGTACTGGGCCTTGCCCACTGCATCGGGCCGAAGCCCGGAAACTGCATCGGAACGTTTGTCCGAAACTGACTGGGACCTTGTCCCCTGCATCGGATCGATGTCCGGAACTAGCTGCATCAGACCGAAGTCCGGAACTTACTGCATCGGACCGAAGTCCGGAACTAACTGATCGTAGCATAGCATAAACACATATCAACTAGCATAGCACACATGATCATAAACTCATATACTGCATACTATGTCAGGCCGTAGCCCATAACACATAACACATAAATCTTGTCTGAGCACGAAGGCATCAAACACACTAACAACTGCATCAAACCGAAGTCCGGAAACTACTACTACTAAACGGCCCGACATTGTGGCCTTAGACCCGTTCCTATTGGAAGGAAACTCACCTCGTAGCCTAGCTGCTGAAAGGATTGCTCCGGAATCTATCTGTTGCGTCTCCGATTTCACCCCGACTACAATATCCATGAGCACCATCAATCAAATACTGATAATAATAATAATAATATTGAGGGTAAAATGACTCTCCTACCCCTGGTCCAAGTCAACCTAACTATCAAAGTCAACATTCAATTGACCTGACTCGTCGAGTTGGGCCGCCAACTCGTCGAGTCCTTACTCTTACTTCCTTGATTCCTGTCACAACTAGAACTTTTGTGTCTTGTAATCACTACACTCAAGTAAAGGTTGAATCAAAAATTTAAAAGCATGTGTGATGCTTATTTAATGACATCAAAAACTTCAATCAAATACATCATGCAAGTGCTACAAATGGTCAATAAGCAATTGGAAACCCTAGAAGTCCTGGTTAGGTCCATTTTGGACTAGGACTTCCTTATTGGACTCATTGGGCCAATAAGCCTCCAATTTGACTATCATGGGATTACAACCTTCAAATGGGCTCTAATTGGACCCACATCTATTTATTTCAACATTTTGGGCCATATTGGGCCTAGAATGAAATAAATTCAAAATTATGAACCATGATTAACCTAAACTGGCCCAACAAAGTGTAAAAATCATATTATATATTTTTTAGGTTAAAACTCACTCAAACTAACTCTAATATTGGGCTTAGGGGCAAAAAGCCCAAAAACCTTTTTCCTTCCCAAATTTTCGGCCCAAGACAAGCCCAATAGGAGAAGTTGACTATTACCATGCCACCTCATTTTTATCTCTTGGTTTTCCATGTAACATGTCTCATATCTCCATGCATGTATCACTTCATGTCTATTTCTCTCTCTCTCTCTCTCTTCTTGTTTCGGCCGTGAGCAACACACACACACACAAATCTCTCACAAACTCTCTCTAGATCACTCAAGACTTCTCTCTTCCTCTCCATCTAAAATCTCGAAATTTGGCTTGTGTTTCAAGAGGATTCTTCAAGATTATCATCATCCTTTGGTAAGTTTATCATCAAGATTATCTTATTCTAAACAAGTTTCTTTGGTGATCATACTCCTAGAAAACTCCATAAACTCGAGATCTTCATCAAGGGGTGCTAGGGCCGAAAATCACCAAGTTTTCTTCCATCCTTTCTTCAAAAACCGAATCAACACCCAAAGGTGAGCTTCATACCCCCTTATTTTCGGTTTTTATAAGTTTTTGTGGGGGAGAATACAAGCAAAGGTGTAGATCCATCATTATGTGTATGTTTTGGTTGATTTCTATGCTTATATGTATGTTTTGTATGATTTTGATGCTAGATCTAGTTATGAATTGCTAAAAACCGAGATATATTTTATACTAGCATAAAATATACTACTACATGCAAAGTATACCAAGAAAAATAGCTAAATGGCTTGACAACACTTATTTTGGGCTGAAAACTCATTTTTTTGACACAAAATGTTAAAAATACAAAGTTGAAGGGCCTAAAATGAAATATTTCGAAATCTGATGGGTGAGATGAGTCAAAACAGTTTCCATAATGTATTTTCTGAAAATATACTA